ATTACATTTCTCGCCTGGCTCCGGCTTTGGTTGCTCTCTCTCTCTCTCTCCTTCGCCTCTCTCTCTCTCTGTCCGCTTCTCTCTTCCCGTGCCATGCGCCGCTGCGCTGCCAAACAACTGCCGAACACCAAAATAATACCGGCGGCGTTGACATTGAAAACCCCTGCCAGAGTTGGAGAGAGAGGTAGGTGGGACTGCAACTGGTGGAGATTTGTGCAAGAGTTAGAGACCGCGTGGACATCGATGGGAGGTTTTTTTGGGAAGTATCAAAATAACGAACAAAAATTACGTCGAGATATTATCCTTCCTGGCAATAAAAAAACAGGAGGTGTTAAGATGTTCAAGCAGCAAACAGACACCTTTTGCAAGGAATCACGTCTGCATTAACCACACGTACTTGTGGCAAAACATGCAAACGAACACGCTCTGATGATATATTGTCTTTGAAATTGATTGGCCTTCACCAGAGACGGCCTTTTCTGTGGCCTCGTCTCACCAGTGTTAGACCAAACAACGCCAAAAGGCCAATAATACAAAGACAATGCAAGTATCAAAACCTTTATAGCTCCTGTTGAGCAGTTATAATGCTCAAATATTTTTCCACTGTTTGCAAAAATTGGGCAGAGGTCGTGAGTCTTGAAGTGAGATTTGGATACTTAAAGCGAGCAATATGGACAGGTAAAGAGACAAAGGTGTAGAGAGACACAGAGGATGAGAGACAAGAATTGTGAGAAACAGAATATGTATTTATATTGGAGCAATCCGATGAGCTATAAAGCTCTTGTTCACAGATGTTCCAGAGGCAGACGTGGAGATGGACTCAGAGAGGTAGAGGCATCGGGGGAGATACACAAAAGACAAGCGTGGGTGGAGAGAAAACTACACAGAGGCTGATGCAGGCACAAAAACATACACAGAGGTGTATGTATGTTGAATTTCTTTTGCACCGTACGTAGCCAACCGTGCAAATCGGAAGTGCGGGGGGAGGACAACAAACTAATCACGAAAAGCAGTTATAAAGAAATGCATTTTCAATCTAGATTATTTAAAAGTGCAGAGCCCCAGTTATTTTTTTATATATCGGAAGGAAGAGCGTTCCAGACGGCCGCAGAAGCGCATCTTAAAGCGCGCGATGCGGTGGCCACCGTCTTTGTTCGATGGTCAGCGGCCAAAAGCCGCTGCTGCTGCGAGGATGACCGAAGCATCGCGTGATGGTGGTTTATGTTCCTTGACGAGATCAGCGAGGCGTTGTGGTCCATTCGTGCTCGGCGAGCACTGGGGCGGACATCGTGCCCGTCACGACGCACGCCAGAGGAACGTGTACACCCAGCGGTTTGGTGAACACACGTTCACGCGTATTTAAACAACCGTCACCTTCTAAGGGGGGGGGGGGTTACTGTCGTCAGTCGTGTCGAGTTGCGTAAAGGAGCGCGATGTTCTTGCCCGGGTGTTTACTCTGCGGAGACTGTCGAGCGTTGAAGGCATCAGCCGCCAGGCGCATCCGCAAGGCAGCAGCGCTGTTGACGGAAGCCGTTGCGGGCGGAGTGCGACGCATGAATTGTAGCTTCGAGTAAACAAGGAGACCTAACGCAAGCCTGGCACCGTTGTGGCAGATGCGGCGCAAAGCCATGTCAGCAGCAGAGATAGTGGATACTTGATGATGATAATGATGGTGGTGGTGGTGATGATGATGCACAAATGAGAAAAACAATCTCTGGCATTGTTCGGCGAATGTGATCACCACCCAGAACAGCACCATGGAACTCGTAACTCATTTGTTAAGAACTGCGGTTTGTTTTTAGATTGTTGTCCTGCACCCCGAACCTCAGATTAGCACGGTTGCCTACGTACGATGGTAAAGAAGTTCAACGTACATGCACATGCGTGACGTAGAGCTCAATGCCCCGATTCACAAACACGAAGGAGGAGGAGCCGTCATCGTCATCACCATCGCAGCGACGATTCGCCACCCCGCTACTCCTAATTCAATAACTCGAGCTCATCAACCACCTCGATGTAAAACTCTCAGCCGCTGCTCTCTACGTCAGAATCAGAAGAAGAAGCTTGGACAGACCGCGTCATTGGGCTGCTACGATGGCCGCTGGTCGAGACTGAAATCGGAGCGGCAGCCAAGGGAATGGAACGCGTGCCGAGAGGCCTTCCAACGGAGGAGATGGAACGAGACCAACTCGGCGGATTTGTTGCACCGCAAGATCGCGAGAGGCGGTGGCGGCGGCTTGCGGAGGACTTCATCCAGCAGTGGATCGACCACGATGACCAATAAACGACGCATTTCTATTTAGGCGATCTAACCCCAAAAACCTGTATTGTGGATGATGACTATGATGGCTCAAAGCAATCCGCGGTGCAAACCAAAGCCACCCAAGAGTAATCGAACGAATTAACAGGCTGATTAAATATTGACGCATTGCTTGCCTTATTGATTCCTTCCATTATTTCCGTGCGTTATTTTTTTTTATATATATAAGCCGTTTGTTTTTTGTAAATTGCCGAGTTCACTGTTTGAGCAATTTGCTTAGCCGGCCATTACGCCCGTTCATGCATTTCCAGGACAATATAACGCTTTATATTACGAATGGCCGTGGGGTGTGGGGGGGGGGGGTGAGGGGTGGGGAGTAATTTGACCAATTACCCTGGCACACAAAAGCCCGGCGTTTTTGTAATGTGGGATAATGGGATCATCAAGGCCTTGTCTCGACGTGGACGTTAATGCTCACGGCCTTGGCACAAATTGGAAGCCCTCCTCTCTGTAACTCACCCCCATAGTCGCTGACCGCAGATGCCCTTGGGCTACGGCTAAACAACAGGGGGCTTCACTGGCCGCCACCGAGACAATATTGCAATTCACGCGACTGAGAATATGAATGGGCGTTATTATAAACTGGGGGGTGCAGTGCGGGGAATGGGGGGGGAGGAGTGGCTTGTGAGCTCCCGATGCTATGCAGGGTCTTGATATTGGCTGTCTGAATCCCATGCGTAGGCAACGTAGCCCGGGGAGGATTCCTAGAAGCGCCTTCGATCCGACCCGGTGAGGCTCCGTCATTAACGCCGCAATGTTAAGAATGTGCCTTAGTCTGGCTCTGTGAGCCTCAAGCGTTTCCACTCTCACCCTCAGAATTCATGACTGTGCCTTGGCTTGGCTCTGTGAGCCTCAGTCATACACACTGTGATGCTAACGATGATTTAATGTGACTTAGTCTGGCTGAATGAGCCTCAAGCGTTACCTCTATCATGTTAACAGTTCTTCAAGGTGCATTCGTCTGACTCTGTGGTGTACGGCCATCGACATTTAAATTGGAATCTTAAAGCTGCCTGAGTCTTGCTCAAAGAGATCCTTCGATGTGGTTCATGTTACTGTGCCAACGGCATCAACTGCAGGCCACCTCCCACGTAAGGTGCGAAAGCAGTTCAACATGCAGTACGTCGCGAGAACCGTGTGAGAAATTGCAGCGTCTTCGCGATGCGTCCATCCGGCTGTGGACGGACCGTGGCTCAACGATCCTCGAAAGACCCCGGATGCTGCCGCGGCCTCAACGCTTTGGACCTGTCACCGACGGTTGAGTCCATCGACGGGTCGCGTGTGGTGGCGCACAGTGTGGGCACTCCGGCCTTCGAATGAGCATGCCCGGCGTGCTAACATCGCCCCAAATGCCCATTCTCACAGCAGTGGCGTGAGCAGGCGATTACAGGGCTGCGCCTTCACCCTCGCCCTTTGGACGATCACGAAGGGCGGGGAGGGGGGTGGTGTAACACGTGCGTTGTGTGCGCGGCCGCCCGTGTTAAGTGCCCGCTCTGTGTGTCCGTGTGCTTCCTGTGCCCGCGTGGTTACAGGCTTGGCAAATCCCTGGCCGCACCGGGGCTGAGCGCTCCGCTAGGAGTCTGCCACAGCTTTAATGTGTCCCGACACTGGTAAGGAATTGCAAGTGTGAGGTGCTCTGTGCACTGATTGCGTGTGGGGTGAGGAGTGGGGGAGGACTCTCGAGAGATGCGACGTTTAATGCCACTGCGAGATGCAAGCTGCGTGCTGTGGCTCCCCACACAGCAGCGTGCATTTATTTATTATTTGAAACAACACTCGCTCGCCCCTCAGGAAAATCTCACGAGTCTCGTGACTTTGTATTCTGGAGGGGGGGGGGGGGGATGATTGCTGTGTAGATCCCCACGGGGTGATTGTGCAAACATGGAATAACCTGAGGCCGTGTGGCCGGCACACGTCGGCTCCGACTCTTACGAATGACCCCAAGGGATCTTTGACGTCCACCGTGGGTAAAGAAGACGACGCGGGACATCATAACGATCATTAACCTCGCAGTAATAACCAGGGCGGACGTCAGATTCGAACCGCGACGCTCAGCCTCAGCAAAGTCGAGAAGGAGGAGAAGGTCGATCCTTGCAGGAGCGGGTGTCCAACTCAACGTATCGGCAAGCAGAAGGACGCAAGCGACAGAAGTCCCCACCCTTCCTCCTCCTCCTCCTCCTCCGCCTGCCGCTGCTCCTCTCAAGTGGATCTCAATTTTTCGCGACAGCCACAACCGCAGCGCCATTCATCTGACTGCGCCAGGGATCCACTGCGGGGATTGGAATCTAAGGCGTTGTGAGTTCGTCGTTAATAAACACGGCACAAGAGGTGGTTAATCGTGACAGCAGAGGGCCGTGATTTCCGTGGGGGGCTGGGGTGGGGGGGGACTCCCTCACCACCCTTCCCCCCACCAATGCCAGCGCTAAGCAAGCGGGAGGCACTCTCTGTGAGGGTTAGACCTGCGCCGACGTGACACACTCTGAGCTGGACCGTTTCTACGTCTGCCGTTCACAATCGAAGCGTGTTTCTGTTCCGCAGCGACAATCAACTCTCATGTGAGTGACCGAGAGACTGATCGAGCGACCGAACGAGCGACCGAACGAGCGACCGAGCAAGCGAGCGACCGAGCGACCGAGCGAGCGACCGAGCGAGCGACTGAGCGAGCGACCGAGCGACCGACCTCGGACACGTTGACGCGGCCCTCCTGGAAGGTGCAGCTGTGGGGGTTGTCGGTGCACACGTGGCGATACTTGCACCAGTGGCAGGGGTAGGGGCTCCCCACGCAAGACAGGCACCTGCGGGATGGCGGCGGTGACGTCAGACAACGAACGTCATGCTAGAGGCTGCGTCGTTGTACATCATCACGGTCGCCGTCATCGTCATCATCGACGTCATCATCGTTCATTATCATCATCATCATAATCAATGGGTGGTGCTACCAAGTAAAGTGGATTGTCTCTATGATCGTTTGGGTGGGGTGTAATGAGATGGACGCTTGAATATATTAAGAAATACAAATACATCCTCCACCTTGAGTAGACCCTTGGGGTGATGGCCAGGACCATCCCCTGGCCGTCTTTGCCTCCCAAGTGCTGACGTTTACACACTGCACCAGGTGACTCATTTACGGATGAGTTGACCGAGGGGAGGCCCAAGACCGGTTTAGATATTCGTCACTGATGTTGGCCGTGGGCGGGAATCGAACCCAGGTCGGCGGGTTCGTATTGCAGCGCGCTAATCGCTACGCTACAGCTTACCCAACGAAGAACACTGACCTACACAAACACACCCTGCGCATATACTACACACGCGCACGGATGCCACGTGCACATCACGCGAAGGAGGCGTGTTTTGCGAGTGCCGGCGAGCCGCGAGCAGTGGGCGACTCACGACTGGTGCTCGCTGCAGTTGAAGAAGGTGAGGTCGGTCCCCACGAACTCGAGCCCCGTCTCGCGAGAGCGGAGTTGCAGGCGCACCACCCTCGTGCCCTCTGACAACGTGGAGCGGACACAAGTCAAGGTCAAGAGGTCATCGCGCTGATGCCCACCACCGCTATCCATCTCTCGCAATTGGTTAGATGCAGCGAAGGGGCCGTTAGACACCAACGTCAGTCGGTCAGTGGATCAACGGGTCACCGGCTGCTCAGTAGATCAATCGGTCGGTCGGTCGGTCGGTCAGTCAGTTGTTCATTGGTCAGTTGGTTCGGCAGTCGGTCAGCCAATCAGTCGGTTAATTAATCAGTCAGTTGTTCATTAGTCAGTTGGTTGCACAGTCGGTCAGCCAATCGGTCAGTTAATTAGACAGTTAGTTGTTCAATGGTCAGTTGGTTGGGCAGTCGGTCAGCCAATCAGTCGGTTAATTAGTCAGTCAATTGTTAATTGGTCAGTTGGTTGCGCAGTCGGTCAGCCAATCGGTCGGTTAATTAGACAGTCAATTGTTCATTGGTCAGTTGGTTGGGCAGTCGGTCAGCCAATCGGTCGGTTAATTAGTCAGTCAGTTGTTCATTGGTCAGTTGGATGGGCAGTCGGTCAGCCAATCGGTCGGTTAATTAGTCAGTCAGTTGTTCATTGGTCAGTTGGTTGCGCAGTCGGTCAGCCAATCGGTCGGTTAATTAGTCAGTCAGTTGTTCATTGGTCAGGTGGTTGCGCAGTCGGTCAGCCAATCGGTCGGTTAATTAGTCAGTCAGTTGTTAATTGGTCAGTTGGCTGGACAGTTGGCTGAGCAGTCGATCGGCCAATTGGTCGTTAAGTTTGTCAGTCAGAGGGTCCGACGGTCAGGTGATCGGTCAGTCGGTTGATCGGTCAGTTGCCCGATCAGTTGGTGAGCCAGTGGGACGGCAAGCTGGCCCGGTCGTACCGGGCTGGACGGCGATGCCCTGGATCTGCTTGTGTGACGGCGAGAGACACGTGATGCTGCCCTCGCCGAGCTGCCCCTCCACCTCGGCGTGGACGCCAAAGGTGCAGTTCACTCCGCCCGACAGCTCGGGGGCGTTCTCCGCCGTGATCACGAGCTGCGTGACACACGCGGACAAGATCGACACATGCGGACAAGCGAACACATCGAAACACAGATGGACCGAGACGTGGACACAACAACGGCGCACAGACACGCCGACACACAGACACACAGACACACCGATGCGTGGACACGTTGACATACCGATACAACACCGACACATGGACGCACCGACACACGGAAACACAGACGCCCAGACACACCGACGCATGGACACGCGGACAGATCAACACACGGACATCCAGACACACCGACACACTGAACTGACACACCGACACAGCGACGGACAGACAAATCGATGGAGTGATCGACGAATGGACCCATGACGAGATGCAGACAAACAGATGAACAAAATGCCACGTAAAAATGGATTTGATGGACTACCAATAATCGTGTGCATGATTGTCAACTGCGTAATCTGATGGTGTCACCTAAAAAAGACACCGCTGATGAAGGAGAGGGGACGCCACCCCGACGCTCCACCTCTACTCACGGATCAAGAGCCCTCGTGCGGAGTGCCGGTGTTACGACGTGAATGGGGTATGTGTGAGGTCATCTGGGATGGATGATGAAGCTTGAGCAATGAGCTTGGCCTTGGGCAGAAAACTTGAGAGTGGTGACTCAACCATAAGAATGCGCGCTCACACACACGCACGCGCACACACGCGCGCACACACACGCACACACGCGCGCGTACACACACACACACGCACACACGCGTACACACACACACACGCACACACGCGTACACACACACACACGCACACACGCGTACACACACACGCACACACACACGCGCGCACACACACACACACGCGCGCGCATCGACGCGTGCGTGCGTGCGTCCTCCCAAAATGTTTTAGTGGTCACTAACAACACTGCAGGGTCAAGTGCGATTAAGCGCTGACCGCGTGCGGTGCTGAAGTCACGCATGGGACGGTCTCCATCTCATCGCAGCCTTTGTACCCCGGACTCCCAAGAGATGCTGAATCGTTGAGCGCTACCACATTCACACGTTCACGCTATGTGTTCACAGACGCACACGAACAACAGACAAAGATACCCCGTGCAGCCTCCATAGGTTGCTGGGGCAGTGTGCTGTTTGTGAGCACCCGTGAAGGCCGATACGGCACACGATGGGGGTTGGGTGGCCAGCACCACGCACGATCACCTTTGTCTCCCCAGTGGAGATGGGGTTTTTTTAACGCAATGCGCCAGGTACTCATTTGAGGCTGAGTCGACCTAGGGGAGACCCAGGACCAGTTCAAATAATCGTCACTGGTGTTGGCCTTGAGCGGGAATCGAATTCGGGTCGCCAGGTTCGAGGCGCGTTAAACAGTTACACTACCGCTCCTCCCGCACACACGCGTACAAGCACAAACATCCCCCGTAAGGCCTTGACAGACTGTTGGGGTAAGTGCTGTTCACGTGCGCGCGCGTACACGTACCCACGCACAGACACGCACGTGCACAGGACCCACCTTCTCGTACTTCAGCAATCACACAAATGCTTAACCCCCCCACCAACTCTACCCCCCGCCACCCCCCCAAAAAAAACCGCTCTCTTTCACACAAATGAAGCCACTTTTGCAATCAGGCACAATCACAATGCGCCATCAGGGGAGTGGCCACGCCACGCGCTCTCGCGCAATCACGCGCGCATTCACTCGGTCGGTTCATTCTTCGCTCGGCTCATTCGTTCGATCATTCACTGAAAGAGAGAATTCCATCGCTACGCGGGCACCGGAGTGTGCGTATTGTCCGTCGTGCAACTCTACGCCCATCAGCGCGACCCTTCTGTGCGCGTGTCTGTGTGCGTGCATCTGTCTGTGTGCATGTCTGTGTGCGTGCGTCTGTCTGTGTGCATGTCTGTGTGCGTGCGTCTGTCTGTGTGCATGTCTGTGTGCGTGCCATGTGTATGCGGGATGGGGAGCGGTAGCGCGCTGCGCTACGAACCTGGTGACCCGGGTTCAATTGCCGCTCACGGCCAACACCAGTGACGATTATCTAAACTGGTCTTGGGGCTCCCCTAGGTCGACTCAGCCTCAAATTAGTACCTGGTGTGATGTGTAAACATCGTTACTAGGGAGACAAAGGCGGCCTGGCGTGGTGTTGGCCACACACCCGCTCGTGTGCCGTGTCGGCCTGTATAGGTGCTTGCTAACAGCACTTGCCCCTACAGTATGTTAAGGCTACAAGGGGGCTCTTTGTCTTTTTTGCCATGTGTATGACCAATAACGATGATGAAAATATTAAACGGGTCCCCTGGGCCTCCCCTAGGACGACTCAGCCTCAAATGAGTACCTGGTGTGATGTGTAAACATCGCCGCTAGGGAGACAAAGGCGGCCAGACGTGGTGCTGGTCACCCACCCCTTCGTGTGCCGTTCTGCCTTCATAGGTGCTGCTCGCTAAAGCACTTGGTCCAAAAGTGTGAATTACTACGGGGAGGATCTTTGTCATTGTGTAAATAAATGCTTGTTGTATCCTTGGCACACCAGGGGAAGAGGATTCGAGTCAATGATGTAATACACAGGGAAAAGTTAAAGGAACGGGAAAGGGAAGAGCTCATGAATGGGAAATAAGAGGATGGGAAAGGAACGGAGAAAGGGGAGCAGAGAGTGAGGAGAGATGAGGAGAGGGAGGATGGAGAGGCTGCATCAGGGCCTCGACGCTGCTGCTGCTGCTGCATGGAGGAGGAGCGGCGTCTGTTTTCACAGCGGGCGGCGGGGAGAGCGGAGGGGTTCAGAGTGGGGGTGGCCACGCGGAAGCCACGTGATGTACGGGAGGCTTGAGCTGATTTAGATATAGGGGTTGATGCCTATGGATGGTGAGGGGAAAGTTTCAGAGTGGGGGTGGTCACACAGAGGGCGCGAAATATTCGTGAGGCTTGAGCTGATTTAGATATATAGAGGTAGAGAAACTATATACAGATGAGAGTCAAAAGGGATTCAGAATGGAGGTGGCCACACAGGAGTCACGTGATTTACGGGAGGCTTGAGCTGACTTAGAGAGATGTGTTTGTGCGCGCGTGCACGCCTGTGTCAGTATGTTCGTACATTGTGCAATGATGACCCACTTCACACCGAAGCGTGGCCATGTGTGGACACAGAAACGGATCAGTCGCGAGTCTCCGACAGACATCTCCAATTGTTTATCGATCTTATTGTCTATGATAAAAAAAGTGCGTGTTTACACCCCGCAAAGCCATAACAGACTTGTGGGTGCAAGTGCTGCTAAAGAGTAGCACTTTACGAAGGCCGGCACAGCACACGATGGGGGTTGGGTGGCAGCACCACACCCAACAAAGACAAAAGATCCCCCGTGTAGCCTTAACAGACTGTTGGGGCAAGTGCTGTTATCGAGCAGGTATAAAGGCCGACACGTCACACGATGGGGGTTGGGGTGGTCAGCACCACGCCCGGACGCATTTGGTCTCCCCAGTGGCGATGTTAACAATCACAGACATTCGCAAGCTGGCTAAGAAAAAAAAGTAACACGAATGAAATAACATTGCTCCCCGAAAGGAAAAACAATATTCAATAGGCGACGTTTGGGGCAAATGGCCCTTCTTCATGGAACACACACTCACATATGAACGATCGCTCGCCAGTGCCGGATTAAGCTAGTGCGGGGCCTGTAGCATATGCTATGAAGGGGCTCAAAATAAAATAAAAACACTTAAATATTAAAACACTTTTTTTTACTCGCATAGTAAAGTAATTGTATTATTTCATTCGCTATACAGCCAGACAATACGACAAATCGCTAACCTTAAACATCCAGTCGTTCGTAAAAGTTGAAGGCAGTTTAGTACTATAGCAATAGAGCAAGTGCAGAATCACTGAACCGGAATTGATAGCTTGAAAGCGTTTAACGCGGGGCCCTTCAAAGTGCGGGGCCCGTGGCTACTACATATGTAGCGACTGTTGCTACTGGGATAATCAGGCACTGTCGCTCGCTGGTACCGGCACGCTGGAAGCGCTGACGGAGACGCTGACGGGCCGCACGTGAAGGCGCACGCACTCCGCGGGGAACTCCGTGAACCGTCTAGGCTCCTCGGCGCGTGGACACAGCTCCCTCCTCGAGCACCTGGCACCCAGTAGCAGCAATAGCAGCAGAAGCAGCAGCAGGAGCAGCAGCAATAGCAGCAACAGCAGCAGAAGCAGCAGCAATAGCAGCAGTGCGAGCAGCAACAGCAGCGGCAACAGCAGCATCATGAGGAGCAGCAGAAGCAGCAGCAATAGCAGCAGCAGCAATAGCAGCAATAGCAGCAGAAGCAGCAGGAGCAACAGAAGTAGCAACAGGACATTTAGAAACGTGCGTTTAAAGTATTTGGCTGCTATACATTTCTTTCATTTGTGGCCGAGTTGCTTCTGAATAAGAGCTATATGGCTCAGCGGGCCTTACCTGGTAAAATAAATCAAAGTTTAAGATTTTTTCAGATGCCAATCAGCAGCCTGGAATTTGTTTTGCATGCATGGTTTGGCCAGTTCTATTAAATGGGTGTTTGGCTTCAATGTGTGCGAGGAAACCGCAGTGTCAGACTAAACGTCCAAAAGGCTGAGGACATCAATTTATAGATGCAGCTCAATGAACTGTGCTGGCATTGACGGGCCAGGCATGTCGCAATTGTCATCAGCAGCGTGGCCAAAACGTGCCCAAGTCTCGCCGTGACCACGTGGTTGGTCGGTGGCACTAAAATTCGAAAATTCCACGTCTCTATGGCAGCGGCCAGGATGTCCTTTGGCACAACAAATCGCGATGGTTCGCTGCCGTGCCGAGCAATCTCGCCAGGTTGTTTTGGGGTTGTGGGCCCACGTGTAGTTCCGGCACGATGCGATGTCCGACGTTTCGCTCCCCACGTGCTAATGCCCGGGGACACGGGGGGGGGGCGGTGGGGGAGCTTCTTCTGAAATTGCTGCAGAAGCTCCCAGCGTGTGGAACGAAACGTCGGACACCGTTCCGAACACCGCGTGGCACGACCCCCCAGCACGAAACACACACCGCAGAGCTACACAGCAGCTGGACATCTGTGAAAAATATCTTTACAGCTCATTGGATTCCTCCAGTCTAAATAAAGATTCTGATCCTGCAGCGCAACCGCAATAACATCACCAGGCGGTACTCATTTTAGAGACCCTGGAGCGATGTTGCTTGATGATTGGCAGTGATTATGGTGGTGGTCGTAGTGTTAACGGTCGTGGTGAAGGAGCAGAACCGATCGTGGCCCTCATTTGAACTCGAGGTGTGGTGATTGGAAGGCTCCCCCCTGCTGGTCTACCTGCTGAGCAATAACCAAGTGAGCTTCGAAATAACACGACGTTCAAAAGAAGCGGTTAAATGACACGTGAAATGTGAAACCTGGAGGGGGAAAAAAAATCAAGATAATCGATGGCTATCACGGCCGACGCCCAGGTGTGATGTTGGCAAGGTGGGAGTCTCGATTTGCAGTAATGGAGGGTGGTGTTGGGGGGGGTGGAACAGATAGAGCAGCTAACTCGGCAAGACATGCGTTGTGGCATGTGAAGCACGGTGAAAGAGAGGGGGGAGGAAGCCAAGGAATAAATACATAAATCTGAAACAACTCGCGAAACCTTGTAGAACATAACCCATAACTGACTCGGTGTGGCACGCACGCACGCACACACACACACAAAATTGAGAGCGCTTGACTCAATGTCGCGACAATTACTCGCCAATTAGTGTTCTCGAATTTTCTCCAGGACACGCAATCAGTCGAGTTAATCATCGGTTCTGATTGGCGGTCACAGGCAATTAAATCTGGCGGCAGGCGAAGATTCAATTTCAGCCCGAAGATTGCCACCATTCTCGATGGAACTGTCTACAATGTATTTTAAAATATGGCTCCGCATGTGTTTGGCTAGCAAACAGCGTATGCCGATGAGTGAAAAAGTAAATTTCACCCAAACAAATAAATAATGCATCGTCGCGGCCATGCGTATATTTAGGAGTTTGGATTTCCCAGTTTAAGAAGTACAAAACATGTTTATCGCTGGAAAGATCCGGCCCGTGAAGAAAACGCAGACTCATTGGCACGTTGACACAGGACTTCGGATAACAAGTAGAATAATGATTTGAATATTTCTTCAGCATGGGTTGAGTAATTTAACATTGTCTTGTGATGAATGTTGTTTTCCAGTAACGTCCGATCTGAGATTGGACGGAATCGGTCATACATTCTGACACAAAAAGGACGTGCACATTTTGATTTAAAGCTTTCGTGACTGCAGGGATTCATATTCTAGGTTATTTCGGTAAAGTCACGTAGAATGAGAATACAATAATAAATATAAAACAATAAAATTCTCACGACGTTTCGACTGCAACACAAGCAATCATCATCAGGTGTGAAAACCACAACAAGAAATTTTTAAAAAAGTGGCTTTCAATTTTTTTTTAAAAAAGTGGCTTTCAAATTTTCTTGTTGTGACTTTACCGAAAGAACCAAGAATATGACGTGCACATTTTTTGTCATCATCTTTCCAAATCCTGCTGCTCTTGTGGCATACAGGTTAAGAGCGCGCGGAAGCCAGCACCTCTGAGAACCTCGGTTCGAATCCAGATTTCAGCCACCGCCTGTGATCAAACTGGGTTCTCAAGTGTAGCGAGTTGGCGTTTCAAGTTTACAAGCGAACGTTTCTTGAAACCAGGCGAGAACTCAAGAGACCAGGTTGAGTCCCACATTCGCAACAGAGACCTGAGCAATGAATCTGCCAGTAGGTAGCGGGGGTAGGGGGGGGGACACACGTAGAATTTAGGAAAAATGTTGCACAAAGAAGAAGACTTGATGATGTGAAAAGAAGGAAATGGGCAATATTTCGATACATATAGAGGATGGACAACAACTGGAAAATAAAAAGTGTGTTGTTGTTAGGAAATAAATATTAAAAATACTTTTAAAAAACACGCCTTAATGAAATGTACCGTACTCGTAATGGCAGAACTCCACGCAGCTTGCCATAACGTAAGGGACCGTGGTGATTTACAGGCAACGTGAGTTGAGCGTGGACAATTAGACCCGTAAAAAAGATTTTAAAATGTATACATTTTTATTTTTAATGATAGAATATAGTATTGTCATCAGTATGACATACCTACACCAAGTTTGCAGTCGATACATTGGGAAGACGGTTGAAATTGAGTTACAAGATTTGAGGATACAACAGACAGAGTGAGTTAAATAAATGCGTGTAAAATGTTTAAAAATATATATTTTTATTTTTTAATGATATAATATAGTCTTGTCATCAGTATGACATAAGCATACCAACTTTGCAGTCGATAGCACATTGGGAAGTGGGTAAAAAATTGAGTTGCAATATTTTTTTAAGGATACGACAACAGACAGAGTGAGTTAAATAAAAAAAGCATGTAAAATGAAAGGAACCAGAAAGAGAGGAAGACCGAACAGCAACTGGCTTGACGACTACGACGTAAGAGATTGGTTCCAGCAAAATGTGGCCACATCTTGAGCCTATTGGCACAAGACAAAGAGGAAAGTGGAAACGAATGAGGAAATGTGTAGTGGATACCTCCGTGCTATCTGCTCGTGAATAGTGATGATGATGATGAAGCGGGGGCGGGGGGGACGATGACTGCCACTGTGTATAACCTGAAATTGGTGATTTGCAGTGCAATTTTGGGGAATTTGAAAAATGTAAATCCTCACACCTGCACACAATGGCCTAACTCTTAAGTATTTTTTTTTATTAATCTCAGCTGTTAGAATAAAAAAAATCAGGTGGGGAAGTGCTGCCCTCTTGTGTGGTGAAGAGGTCAAGATGAAGGTCACTTGAAGTTATCTCAGAGGCAAGTTCTGTCATATCCACTTCCGTGGACCGGTCTCTAACCTGGAGAGGGGAGGGGGGGTAGTGGGGGAAGGGGGTTGAACAGCCCCCGAGAGCATTCCCAAAGGATGTTACATCTCGGGGGAGTGCCGCTAATACAGTGAGGGAAAAAAAGTATTTGATCCCCTGCTGATTTTGTACGTTCGCCCACTGACAAAGAAATGATCAGTCTATAATTTTAATGGTAGGTTTATTTGAACAGTGAGAGATAGAATAACAACAACAAAATCCAGAAAAATGAATGTCAAAAATGTAATGAATTGATTTGCATTTTAATGAGGAAAATAAGTATTTGACCCCCTCTCAATCAGAAAGATTTCTGGCTCCCAGATGTCTTTTATACAGGTAACGAGCTGAGATTAGGAGCACACTCTTAAAGGGAGTGCTCCTAATCTCAGCTTGTTACATGTATAAAAGACACCTGTCCACATAAACAATCAATCAATCAGATTCCAAACTCTCCACCATGGCCAAGAGCAAAGAGCTCTCCAAGGAGGTCAGGGACAAGATTGTAGACCTACACAAGGCTGGAATGGGCTACAAGACCGTTTACACTATGAGACCTCCTTTGCCAGTAGCAAGATATAGTAATAGGTTTTTACCCTTTTATCTGGCACAAAAACTGACACCTTTATACAAGGGATCATGTTTGCAATAACCACAACACAAGCAGTCAAAATGCAAACAAAACGAGACAACTCTGATAATGCACTGTCCTTGAAATTGATTGGTCCACACCCGAGACAGCTGTCTCGGGTGTGAACCAATCAGCTGTCTCGGGTGTGGACCAATCAATTTCAAGGACAGTGCATTATCAGAGTTGTCCCTTTTTGTTTGCATTTTGACTGCTTGTGTTGTGGTTATTGCAAACATGATCCCTTGTATAAAGGTGTCAGTTTTTGTGCCAGATAAAAGGGTAAAAACCTATTACTATATCTTGCTACTGGCAAAGGAGGTCTCAGTGTAAATGCTTACCCCGAGCTCTCAATACTCTGATAGTGCGCTGTTTTTGAGTTGTACGCCTTTTGGCGGCTTCTGGTCCAACACCAGTGGAGACTAGGCTCTAAGAAAAGCTGTCTCGGGTGTGGACCAATCAATTTCAAGGACAGTGCATTATCAGAGTTGTCTCTTTTTGTTTGCATTTTGACTGCTTGTGTTGTGGTTATTGCAAACATGATCCCTTGTATAAAGGTGTCAGTTTTTTTGTGCCAGATAAAAGGG